ATCTCGCATAAGAAAAATTGCTGTGATCAGAATTTTGGCGAGAGTCTTTGCATATTTACCTTCTTTCATTTCCCAGATTCTGGACTTTATCCATTGACCTGTTTTGATTTTTATTTTGATCTATTTTGAATTGCGTGACAATGAAAACCAGCAATATATGTTCCATTCCACTTACAAGAATCAGAGAACTTTATGGGATCGTTGTGCTGTTCTCCATTAGGGCCCTTAAAGTCGTTGGACGGGTCGTTATCCATGACTCCGCAGAGCCCCTCAGTGTGGCCTTTATACGATGCTGTCGGTGTGAACAGCACATTCAGATACTGACGGCCCATCACGTGACTGTGACGTACGTCCGCTGTTATCGTTAGACCTGAAGTGAAGTTACAATGATTTACATCATGCTCAGGAAGGTTATTTAAAACAAACAAGGCGACATTAGAGGCAATGTCATTACGGTCATGACGCAATGATATTCGGTCGCAGTTAGCATTTCTCGAGGCTTACTACATCGAGAACCGAAAGCCCAATATTAGTGAGGGGATCAAAGCCTGTAGAGTTCTAGTTAAATCATTTTTTTTTTAACTGTTTGATAACATCATGTTATGCCATTGCTTGTTTATACACCTAATTAGCCTTGATACATAAGCTGTCTACTTGTTTTGATCTAATACATGACTATAACTCTGAAATTGAGCAGAAATATAACCATACTGCCATGCGTCCCTTGACAATGACATCCGACGTTATCGAAATGTCGTTTGTTTCCTTCGCTAATTTTGTGTTGAAATTCAAGACTTGAGTGCAAAAACCATACCCTTTGGGCCACACATACCGATATGTATATATATATAGCCCATATAAAGGAGTACTTCCCCTCTGGCGTTGGATGAAGTTTGTTGTTTTAAGAATGTCTCGAGTGTCGTATAGTTTAGATTTTTTCCCTCTTGTTTTGTGAAGCTCTTGATTGCAAATGGATATATATTAATGTAGCTAGTTTAGACTACTAAGTATTACGAAGATTGATCTTTTTTTATTGATCTTTTTTTTTTAATTCTGAGAAGTCTTTGATTTCATAGGAGTTGTAAAACGTCTCCCATAAAGAAGTTAAACGAACCTGACTCGTATTGTAAAGAAATGAGCACGACTCCTGTCTCGTCAGATTGTGAACTGAAGGTCTTCTGGATATCTATTACGACTGTTCCATTAGCAAGCTTCATCTTCTGACCAATATTAGCCGTCAAGTTTACTAACTTTCCATCAATTCTTTAAAAGTGACAAAACATGTTGATAAAGAAATATTTGAGCCATACAGTAGGAACTAAAAGATGAAGGGACGAAGCTATAGCAGTTTCTCTAAGTTTGGGGTAATATAATTAACGAGCCTTTGAGGAAAAAAAAAACATTTGTTAGAATGGGGAAAATACAATTTTTTGGTACAAACTACTGATTTTGCATTTCCGTGGAACCCCACCTTACGGCCACTGCACCCAGTAAATATGACCATTTATTTTGGCTCATTTCATTTTTATTTAAAGAACCCGTTCAATACGGCCAGATTTTTGTGGCTCGTTGATGACGGGATTGATGGAGTTTCTCTGTAATTTAATTGTCTAAATTGTCTCAGACTTTGTAAATCTTGAACTGATCACCAACTAGGGAAAAATAGGTATGAAATGCCTGTTTCATGAAAGCGATTCGTCAGTCAAAATGAGCTTCCAGAATGGTAAAAGTAAGTAATCAACTTTATTTATCCAGAGGAGGGGGGGGGGGGCAGCCAATTCAACAACGAGGCTGGTATCCACAGGGGCCCTGGGGAATAAAGATATGTACAATTTACAAAATTTAAAAAATAAAGTACAATTTAAAAATTTAAAATTAGAGTAAAAATAACAAAAACTCTAAAGAACATTTAAAAGGCTGATATGTACAAATATGATAAAATGTTCATAGATTTCCACAGGATAAAAATTACAAATAAAAATGCTTAATATTGAAACTTTTAAAATTACTCAAGAATGGGGCACTCTTAATACAAGCGGGAGATGCGTTAAAATCGTTCCTGCATACTTAAAAGTTCTCTTTCCCATATTGTGTTTCGGCTTTGGTGGGTGCAGGTCGTTACTTCTGCTAGTCGCATGATCATGAAAAGCCCTTTTCCTTACAAAAAACTGATTAAGATATTTTGGAACCAAATTATTTAAGCACTTAAAAACTAAAATACATTTTTGCAGTTTCCTTCAGCTGGCTAAACTTAACCAGTTAAGCACGCGGAGAGTGTCTTTTGAAGTTTTTCTTCGAAGATTAATTCGAGCCGCACGGATAATGAGTCGCAAAATAAACTTAAGTGAGAAAGGTATTTCAAAAATGGATTATCTAAAAGTTACCGCAGTTTTGGAAATTCTCTAGGGTCAGTAGTGTTGACAGTCATGATTGACAGCACACTCAGTCCCGCCTTGACGGCCACGCCCCCTGTCAATGACGCCCGCTGGTAGGCAAAGTAACGGAACTGCATTCCAAAGTCATTGAAGAGAGATTTACAACCCCAAAATTCACCAATGCCGAAGTAATCGTACTCAATTCCTGCGGCGGAAACAAGAAAAACTATGATTAGATAAACTACTAATTTGCTTCTCGGTCAACTTTTATCACAAGTCAATTTTTTTTCTGGCACGTAAGATTGGCTCACCGTCTAATGTCTCCAAATGAGGATCACCCCAGTTCCTCCACGGTCGCCTCCTTTTGCAACAAGGTCCAGTCCAACTGACCGAGCAAGCACAGCGAGACCTGGATGCTCCAGCTACTGCCACACCATTACCAGAACAGTCCCCTGAAAGAAAATGGCACAAACCTTTCACATGAAATAAGAGAAAGGGACGCTCGTTTGACACATTGCTGACCAGAGTGCGCGTTGGTAATATTAGGTAAACTACAGGTAATCGCACAAGTAAATATATGAAAGATCATATATTTCAACTGCTGAGAAAGGTAAGTTATGTATATGACTGTGATGATCAATCATGTCTTCATTTTCGAGGTAATCGTTTACATCACGAAAAAGGTGCTTAAAACAGATTTCAAACCAAACCTCACCAGAGCAAGGTTGTACGTCCGGTTGAGAACATCCGGGTCCTTTCCTGCCCAAAACACAACTCGGGAAATCACCATACGGTGGACGATACGGGCATTTGTAATAACCATTCGTGCATTGTCTAAAAAGTAAAGAAAAAGGATAGACATTTTGGTAATAAAAGATCCAGAAAAAAGGAAAACACTTGTTCGCCTTATTTTGCAAATGAAACTCTTGTGGTAAATGACATGAGGAAGTCAGTCAGTATCACCAAAGGTTGTGAGGCTGTAAATGATAAAAGTTACAATATGGAAAAACATCGCAATTCAAAGAATTCACTCTAAGTATTTATTCAGCATTGAATCTATTGAGTCACTTTTATACACTTACGGTGGAGAAGGACCAGCGCCAGCACCAGGGCCAGCACCGGCACCAGCACTAGCACCAGCACCAGCACCGGCACCGGCACCGGCACCGGCACCGGCACCGGCACCGGCACCGGCACCTGCACCAGCCCCAGCATCAGCACCAGCATCAGCACCAGCACCGGCACCAGCACCGGCACCGGCACCGGCATCGGTACCGGCACCGGCACTGGCATCGGTACCGGCACCGGCACCGGCACCAGCACCAGCACCAGCATCAGCACTAGCATCAGCACCAGGAGCGAAGGCGGTTGCGGGAGTTATTGGTGACAGCGTTGTTGGACATCTACAGGTAGACTGAAAAAAAACCATTGAAGACCATTAAAATACCTGAATCAGATCATGCCATGGCTGTGCAATTGTTTTGTTCATTAAAAAATTTAAAAAGAAATACGAGTTATTCTGAAATACAGGGATGACCCCACGATTTTCATCACCAAACAGACAGACTTATCCTTTCCGTTGCGCGATGCTGAGCTGCATTATCCTAGATGTGCAGTTCAAGAAAAGGGTTTCTGAAAGCCGCGCCCAGCCAAAGAAATACTTTAATGAAGCTTTGCAGCGCAAAGGCTTAGTAAACAAAAGTGGCTTACCTTGGAATTACCGCATTTCAAGGGAAATCTGAAAACAGAGAACTAAAACGCGTTAGATTGAGTACACCGCAAAATGGTATCCCAATACTCCGGCTCTTGTTGTCTGAGTGTTGATTGATTGATTGATTGATTGATTGATTGATTGATTGATTGATTGACTGATTGATACAATGATTTATCTCTGTAGGTAAATCCATGCCTGTTTACTGCGCCTTTCAATAACATGCGGATTCTAAAATCCAAAGCTCAATCCGAGAAATGCATTTTTCGCTATCGTCAATCAAATGTTCGGCGGCTTCGTCCAGCTCCCGACTAGTGCCGAGCACCATTTCGTTGTCTGACCTGTACTCAACGATTTGATTACCGCGCGCTCGGCAATATTCGGAAGATGGGTGGAGCCGCCGAACATTTGATTGACGGTAGCGAAAAACGCATTTGTCGGTTGAGCTTTGCGCAGTAACCCTTTAATTCCCACCAGTGATCAAGCTCAATTCCTTACTACAATACCAAAACATTATCACGAAACAAGTGATGATACGACAGAATTCGTTAACTAAGTAATATTCCCTTCATGTACCATCAAGTTCTCAGAACTGGCATTTTAAAAAATGTATGGCTGTCAGTAAGAAAAATTAACTCTGAGACTGAACAGCTCTACTAATGAGAAACAGCTCTACATCAAATGTTCACTGCAAATGTCAGTCAAGAGTGGCTCAGTAAACTGAGGGTCCCTTTATCACACCGGACATTGTGACTGCTAATTGCTTAGCGTGCATACTGTGTGAAATATTGGTTGCGATAGAGTACCATCAATTAAGTGAGAGCTGATCGCTTTTGAACAAACGTACCTACGCTCCCCTACACCGGCGTTCAACTTCCGACTCAAAACTTGCAACTCGTATTTCACTGCTCCAAAGCCGATCGACAGTCGTCCGACAATTTCCGAGAATCCAAAACTGAGGACCAGTTCGCGTGTAATAGTGTCGTCTTTTCTGGCACATTTATCGCTATTGGCTTTGACCGCAGCATTTATTCGAAAAGGAACTTCTAAACTGAGTCTGAGAACTGAAACATCATAGGCACTATGGCTTTCTTCGGGGCGTTTGCCACCTGCAATGAGATTAAAGGTTAAACTGGGGAAATTGGCTGTTGTGGAAAGGTAATACGTACTTATACATGTCTGAAAAGTTGCCGGACGCAATCTGCAGTACGAAATTCTTTTGCAATTGCACTGGAACCTCTCCCCAAGGTCACCAGAATAGGGATTGTGGCTGCTGTAGAGAGGTGGCCGTTATGGTGAGATAGGGTTGTAATACGACACCTTTTTTTCGGGGGTGAAACTTTTTTTGTCAAATAATACTTATTTTAGCATATATTAAAATCAAAAGGTATCAATAAAAGAGAAACTAAACAGAAAGAGAAACCAACAACGCGCGATTTGGATCACAGTTAGTGACAAAATGGGGTTTTGAACATGCCGTTCGTCAGTCGTTGATTAATTGGCCGTTGTCGAGAGGTAGTTTTGGCAGCTGGAACGAATTTTAGTGGCTCTTGCCTTTGTGGAAAGGTGGTCTTTGTAGATAGATTTTAAAATTAGAGTAAATTTATGGACTGTCTATCGGGGCCAAAACATTGGCCGCTGTAGAGAGGTCCCGAAGGAATACTTGACCCATGTTTGGGTATAGGAGTGCCGCAGAGGGTGTGAAATGCTGACCATGTTTAGGACAAAAATACTCTAAAGACCCTACTATGTGTAGGACAAAGAAACAAAAAGTAAACTAGAGTTTTACCGGTACGATCTGTTCTGTCAATGCGCGTTTGCCCAGAAAATTATCTGATGTTGATACATTATCTTATCTTGACAGAGGGTACCCCGAGGAAAGGAGTGCTTGATGTTTTTGTTTCATATGGAATCGGAGCTTTAGTTAGCCGACCTCCAACTCTGATAAGTCAATGAATGAGGACTGGCTGCGATGGAAGTAGTGAACTGTTGGACGAGAGAGCTCCGTTCGCTTCCAGGGCCTTGTAGTCGTCCTTAAATGATTTAACTTTGGCTTGTTTACATAGGGCCATGGAGGCTTCTTCTTCAGGCAACATTAGAAATTCTGGACCAGTGATCCAACGACATTACGGAGTCAACTCCAGGAATGCGTTTAATCGATTTCCAAGTCGATTTCTTCAAATATCTTAGACTTCAATCTAGAGGCCATGACGGCAGCCTGTAGCTCCTGCCGTGCTACAATCAAGGCTTTGATTGGGGCTAGCCTTGTCTTGCTTATAATAAAGCTCACATTGAAGCATTCACGAGTCACCGTGTGGAAATACGCAACTCCTTGGTAAGCGATTTCGGAGGCGTCGCAGAACACGTGTAGCTGCACATTCTGGCATTCGTCGCGGCGAAAGCCATACCACCTGGGAATCGCGATCGTTCGTGAGGCTTTCAAACCTTCTTTCCAACTTTGCCACTTCTGGAGGATATCATTAGGCAATTCGTCATCCCACTCAGTATGACGCCTCCACAGCTCTTGGATGATCAGTTTTGCCTTAATTACATAGGGCACGGCAATATCCAGTGAATCAAACACGCTGCTCGAGGTACTCAATATTCCCCGCTTAATATTTTGGAATTCACTCTTCACCGGTTCAATACTCAGCCGATTTTGCTCTGCACACCACTTGACACCTAAGGTTCTTTCCTGTGGCAACTCATCACGCTATGGACAAATAATGTCGCACGCCACTTCAGAAGAAGGGATCACTTTAAGCACTTCTCGACTGTTTGACATCTGGCTGTTAAATCTTTGGCTAGACCTGTGGCTTCATCAGAGCTTTGCTTCGATGCTAAGAGGTCATCCATATAGAAATTACGTCTAACAGCGTTGATGGTATCCTCACTGAATCCCTTGCTGATCACGAGCAGAGTTCTGCAATCCATAGTGTGCACAACACGGCAAGTGAACAGCGCCAAACACATGAACAGTCATTTTATATCCAATTGATCTCTTGGTTTCATCGAAGTCTCACCACAAGAAGCGCAAAGAGTCTCTATCTTCTTCACAGACACCCACTTGATGAAACATTTGTTCAATGTCTGCCATTACACCAATCTTCCCGGTGCGAAATCTCACAAGGATTCCTACCAAATTATTTAACATGTCAGGGCCAATCAGAAGCTTGTCATTTAAGGAAACACCATCAAATGTTGATGCGGCGTCAAAGACCAGACGGACCTTTCCAGGATTGTTCGGATTTACTACTGCATGGTGTGGCAAGTACCATATTTTTGAGTTTGTCACTTTGGCCTCTTCTTTTGTCATCCTTTGGGCGTGTCCTTTAGTGACATAATTGTTAATCACGTTCTGATATATCTCTGCTAGTTCCGGGTTTCTCTTGAGTTTCTTTTCAGTGGAATGAAGTCTTGAAACTGCCATAGCATGATTGTTAGACAGGGCTGATCCACGTTTCCATAACATTACTGTTTTGTAGTGGTTTTCCTCCTTGACTGCGCTGCTTTCAAGGATGGCAAGTGCTCTTTTGTCTTCAACAGACATGGTGGACTCAGAGAGAACCTGCTTGGTCACATAAAAATCGATCTCCTAAAATCGTTCAATTTGATTTTGCAATGTGATCTCTTTTCTGATGCTAAAAAGTTTGCATTGATTGTTTTGCAGTGTCCTTGGCTTACATTTCCAAACAGGGTCTATCCAGGGGGTCTTCACTTCGATGGGTTCATCCCATCGTCCCTGGTGGACTTCAAGGTGAATCAATAAGTGAGCTATGTCATCTCTAATGAGAATCATCACGTCATCACCTTCAAGTTCGGGAAGGTCCACATCAGATAAGTGATTCCACTGCTCGGCGGCACTTTTCTTGGAATCCTTTAAAGACAGATTGTTAAGTTCGTCAATGACCCAAGCTCCATCCACCATCACTGGGTCTGGCTGATTTTAAGACGAAAGACCAAAACTTACTCTGTCTAAGTTCTGAGCGATAGCTTCATTGCCAACTGTATTAATATTAAGGCGATATGTTTCGCCATCAAGTCCGTTCTGATCAGAGTCGAGTCACTTCCAGGACCAGGGACAGCATGTGTGTTAACCAGATTCCAATGACTATGAATCTGAACTGGGAGCGCTTGCAAGAGGACTTTGGTTGATGTTGCTCTGCACGGCGGGCAATGAGCTAGAGAGATTCCGAGCTACGCACATTTCTTATGGAGAAGCAGATAGTTGGGTAGAGTTACCTCTGTTACTGGTAAGACTAGCACGCGATCCTAATTGATGATCTGCATTTAACAGGGTGTGGTGGGGAAGCCAACACCGGTTTTTTAGACAACGTTTCACACTCGGACAACTCCTGGCTTGGTGGTTTGCTTTCACGCAATTGAAACAAAGTCCATGGTCCCATGGAATTTTTCTCCTTTCTTGCGGGTGCTTAGACTTAAAGGCAGGAAAAAAGGCAAAGGGTGTTTGCGCTTGCAAATGACATACTTCTTTTCACTTGATGGTGTTTTCTTCTCCTGCTCCTTGTTCGGTGATTGGGATTGGTTTAGGCTGTTGCTCGGAGCATCAGTAGAGGTTTCTGTTATCGTAGTAAGGGGATTTAACTTGAGTCTTAGCTTGACTTGGGAAGCGTCTGTCTCTTGTTCCGTTCTTCACATATGCAATCTTCAAGGGGATTAAACAGTGTTTCTACTCGCTTGCGTAGCCACTTCTCAAACTCTACTAGGGTAGATCTATTACTGCGTCCATTTATGTGTTCATACAATCTTACTCTCAGGTTCATGGGTAGTTTCATAGTTTCCCTACTGAGATACTTTGGGGTTTGAAGAATAGCAGACTGACCCATCTTTACACACCATGTCGTACAGGCCTTCACTTGGTAATAGTAGTCACGAAGTGCCCGCCTATCATTCGAGGTTACATAGGAATTATTGAGCGTATCATTCAGATAAGCTGTGGCCACACTGTTAGGTTTCCCAAACTGACGTTTCAATGTCTTAAGGGCGGTTGGGTAACTATGACCTGTGACACCAGACTCTCCACTACTTTCTTTGCTGCCCCGTCAAGATTTTGGAACTGATAAGCCATGCGATCTGAGTCGGTGAGGGTTGTCTTGTTGTGAATCTGATCACGAAATCTCTCGGATGAATTCGGTCCACTCAATAGGTTTTCCTGTGAATTTGAACATTTCAAGTGGTGGTATTCGCTGCTGTTCATGAGCTCGTAGAAGAGCTACACTTGAATCCGTTTGTAAGCTTGTAAAGGTGAAGTGGAACGCAGTTTCTTGACCTTCTTTCAGTTTACCAATAAATGTATCTACAGGTTCGTCTACTTGTAGAGAGTGATTGGTATTTCTACAAGGTCCACCGAAGTAGGGGGTTGATGTACTTTGGGTTGCTGGGGTCCATTGTGTTACATAAGGTAGCTGAGAGTGGTTAAATGGACTTGTTGGGAGTTCAGGCTAAGTTGTCGGGGGGATCGAACTACCCATAGATGTTGACGCCAGAGTAACATTAGGGAGTTTAAGCAAATCGCTACGGCTGGCTCTGATACGGCTGCCGGAAGTAGATTTCCCCCAAAATGAGACACTGCGCATGTACGTCGGTTGCATCCAGCCTTAGCGTGAAATCTGACTACGTGAGTCGGGATGTTTTGCTGTAGTGGCTACTACGTCGGGTTTATTTCGCTTCTCTGGCCCTTTTCAACGGACATCTAGGCATTTTAAGAATTCCATAGGATACTATATCCTTTAAACTCAATTTAAGTCAAAGATTGTGTCAAGGTTGCCTTTCATAAGCTTGTAAATTCGTATCCTGAATGTACGATAAGTTTTGGCAAAGGTGTTGCAATGGCGAAGCTAGTCAAGTGAAATATTCGTGTTGAGCACGAAGTTGTTTTTCTTCGGTTAAGTTTGCTTTGAGGGTTTAGAGAAGATGTTTTATATCTGGATAACTATACGAAGGAAATTAACTTTGTTTAACATGCGTTTTGGTTCCATGTTTATCACCGCGGTTTGTGTTTTGTTTCTGCTAAAGCTACGATGGCCAAGGAAAAAGATTGTTCTTTGAGATATTTGTCTCTGAAATTATATATTTCATCCATCAAATT